GGAAATGGAGTTGACACGAGGGTGTATTCATGTGCTGCTTAGGCGCGCGCATTTGTTGTGATCAATTGTCAAGAAGGTTGTTCGTCGAATCAACGACGCCTACGGCCATTCAAAAGCCGGATGAAGGAGAACCCGATCTGTGCCCGTTGAAGCTATGCCACAATGGAACTCCAACATATCATTGGCTGAACTTAGTGGATTTGCGAAGAATCATAAGTCGCTTCAAATAGTAAAAAAACTATTAATTCAAAAATGGGCAGACAGAGACTAATCAGAGATTACAATAAGAAATGGGTATATAACGAAATGAGGGTTCATACTCTCATTTTAATACAGTATTCACTCAAAAACTCTTCAGGGTCGGCTACAAACTGGCTATGTCAGCAGGATTTCTCGTTGTCGTTCTGCATGCCATGCGAACCTATGAGAGAAATTTGGATTGGAGGGACGAGGAATGCCTCTATAAAAGCGCACTGGAAATCAATCCGCCAAAAGGTGGGTCTCGAAGCGTGCTGTGGGACACTTTTCAAGAAGGCTCCATATGGAGTAGACGGTTCATGCCTATGCAAACGACTGCACTTGCTTGTTGAACCAGTTTTAGGTCTGCAAATTGATCCGCCCGATGTAACGTTACTTCTTACAGCTTATTCAAACCTTGGAAGGGTGTACGCATCGCAGATGAAACTGTATGAGGCTGAAGCTGCTTATAAGAATGCTCTTGCACATCGTCCAAACATGGCCGACACGTGGTATAATCTGTGAGTGCATCAATTAATTGAACTTTTCTTATTCTTATAATTGTCTGTCAAAGTGTCCCCACTCTATGTGAGGTCCTAGAGTTTTTTGCCCCGGGTTTCTGTAGTCTGATGCATACGGTTGGCGAAAAATCACTATTCGAGACCTGAGCAAAGAACGTCATCCGACCCGTGTTCCTCATTGGCTTGGGCCCTGGAACCCTCGTCTCTGCCGTACAGGAAGGAAAGGCGCATTGACAAGGGAGGAGCGATGATAGTCTCTCCTCCCATACAACCAGCGTGGAGCCTACATCGGATTTTTCCATGGTAGCTATATTACGCAGCAGAGCTCACAACTTCGTGAACCTTGACCGATCTGACCAGCTTGCTCATTTGGAGTTACCAAAACATCATAAGAGTGAGCTGCTGTGATGAAAGTCTCTTGAAATTCAATATTTCAGAGGTGTTCTCTACCAGGACAAGAAAAACTTCACCGAAGCAATCACATGTTATCAAAGGTCGATAAAATTTCGAGGATCGTTTGCTGTTGGTGAGTGTACTGGTGTATTGTGTGAGTGTATTGTGTATTGGTGACTACAATATTTTGCAACAAAAGAGTGAAACTTGCAGAGAATATTGAATTTCTGAGCTTGGTCCTAGTTATGGAGAGCTAACGCTCACGATAACCATACAGGGATTCTTCCGATTTCCGGTCAAATCGTTCCCACTCTATGTGGGACCATAGGGTTCTCTTGGTACTGGGTTTCTATGACTTCATGCGAACTAGTGCCAAATTTCTCCTATGCTCTTAATTAACGATGAATGAAATGTCATTGACAGTTCCCTGCACCATTCCCACCGAGCTCAGAAATCCGAAACCTTAGGTAACTTATAGAATTTTGCAATGGATCAACTTGTTGAGTTACCCGTGACCCCTACGAGCTTTCGACTTCATTTGGTCTTGAAATAGCTTCTTTACTCTTCTGGAACAGTTCCAATCGGGTTACCCTTGGGTTGTTGTTTGTCCAGCCAGTTCTTACGCTTATTATTTCAGAATACTTACAGTTAGGATCGTCGCCATCCGGAGGGGGGTGCCAAGAGGTATGAGCCCACTCGCGGCCTTTTCTGTCACTGGTTCTTTTCTATCTGCAGAAGCTACTTCTGGTAGAATACGCAGCCGCAGTAGATGATTGATTCCACGCCTCCTGAAACCGCCCCGCCGATTGTTTTTATATCAATTGTATGCAAAGGACAAGAATCACTTATGTTAACAAACTATGGAAACGTAGTGAAGTTGATGATTTCAGCTCATCTAAATCTGGGAATCGTCTACGAGACACTGGGCGACGATCAACGTGCAATAGCAACCTGGCAGTCATGTGCAGCGATAGATGGCTCTTCAATCAAAGCCCAACGAGAGCATCAAAATGCTCAGACCAGCTGTCGATTTCGTCTCGGAAGGCTGCTACTGAAGAAGAGAAATCTCCACGAAGCTGAAAGCATGCTGGAAGAGGTAGGTGTAAGTAGTGAAGTTTAGATGAGTTCAGAGCCAACTTTCGTTCGCACTAGTAAAGATGCTTGCAAACCAGCTGATCGTCCGCCAGGTTCCGCTCACGTGTTGCAGCGTTTTAGCCTCGGCTCTATCTACTCAGCTCCGAAGTTTTTATGAAAAAAATCGTGAGTGCAAGTGAAACTGTTCGAGTTCCTTCAGGCAATTCGAAAAGCGCCACCTCACTACCCTTTCATCCATTCCTTGCTCTATTCCTTCGGAGAAGTGGCGGAGCTGCTTGGGCACAACAGCAGAGCAGAGGTATTTCTGATCACCTTACTTCTACCTACTTGACTTGCGACCAGACCTTAAGTGACGTGCTGATTGATGAGCAAAAAATTCCTGGCTGTCATGAATGAAATTGTTCCAAGAAGAACGAGTGTCATTAATTTAGCATTTCTTCCAAGCCGCCTTCCATGCCGCTCCTACACATGTGCCGACCTTATTAACGATGGCGCATCTTCGTAACAAACAGGTAACCCATACAGATGCTCTACAGTCCCTTAACTCTTATCCTGGTCCTGAATGCGATTTTCCTCATCCAGAATCGTACTACTGAATCGAATGACTGGTTTTCAAGAGCACTGGCCGTCGCCCCGAATTCAGCTGATGTTCATCACCACATTGGAGTAGCTGCTGCTCTGCGGGTAGGCTTGAACGCCACGAAGGTCGTGCCTTGTTTGAAGAAGATTATTTATTTTCTAGGGTGATGTGGTAGGAGCAGAAACTGCCTATAAGAACGCTCTGAAGCTTGTTAGTACTCACGCGGATTCTCTGAAAGCGTTGGCTACGCTTTTGCGAGAGCAACAGCAATACGATAAGAGTGAAGAGGTGGGCGTCTCTCCGGTCCTCTTTGAGAGGATTTGAACTCCTCAAGGGCATTTTTAGGTGCTACGAACGCTGAAGAACTACCATCCAACTGCTGAAACTTTGGGCGATTACGGTGCCATATTGCATCTGAACGGGAAATTTGATGAGGCGAAACGATTTTACGAGCAGTCGTTGATGCTCGATCCGTCGAATAGTGTGGCGAGAGAGAATCTACGTCGATTGGAGCGGAAAACCTCTTCGCCTACAAACCATACATGATCTCTCAGTTCAGGGAATATTTTGTACAGAAATTAAGGTGATTGTGATAAGCTACGGGTGTCTAATTTACTCAGGTGATATGTTGCATTTATGTAGATATTGACGAAATAAATATGTTGTCTATCATGCAGTGAATTACACTTCTTCGGCGTACTTCGGCATGGGGGGGCATTTTGCACTTTCGCTGCTTCACTAGTTCCGGTTTACAAGTCTCACTCTGGTGAAACCTGTGAACTCTTGTGAAGCTGGAGCAAGCTCGTCGAGCCACCATGGTAAAACCTGTCAACTCTTGTAAGCTCATGAAATGGCTCTCTAGATGGGTCGACACGTCGATGGGAAGTAGCAAAAGTGCAAAATGCCCCCCCCCCCATCGCCGATTTGCTCCCTCTGCTTCTAATATTACTGAGAGTTGTCCTCTGTTCCCCTTGAGATCATACAAGTACTGCTAATCACCTCTGTGGTGATTACATCCGCTCTTCCACGTAAAGCCATTGGGAACTGACCGTTTCTTGTGAACTGAGCGGAAGAGCGAACACTCGAAAGCAGGTAACAGGCGAATCCCAAAGTAATGCTTTGGTGTTCGCGGAAGCCGACGCGCACTTGCAAGTCAAGTATAGCTAACGGTACGCAATGTAGAGGCGTGAGGCATTTGGGCACGCCCTTTTGGGGCGGTGCCATTTCGTTTCCAGAAGTCGTTAGGTCATGCGTGGGCAGCCATTGATGTAAAAAGTGCTAAAAGTTAAATGTAGGATGCTTTTGCGCCAACGCGACAGTTAATACAATCGCCTGAAATGGCGTTTAAGCCAAAATAGCAAGGAGGGAATCACCTACAACAGTGGGAAAAGCAGAAGAAAAAGGAAAGGAAAACTTCAAGGAGTCATCTCAGCTTGGAATTTATTGACTCTTCCCCCCCTAGTTTTTGCTTCACTCTATATATCCCTGGGACGCGGCAGGCGTGGCTGCGTACTTCATTTGAACATGGCGTAGGATGGGTTATTTGTGGGTTTTTTTCCATTTTCTGACACTCTCACCTTCTACTATAAAAATACATGATCACAGCTGCCCAGAATGGAAATATCTGGTTGAGATCGCAACCGCAGCCGAACGGGGAGCTCCCATAAACTAAAAATTCTATCAGTAAACTATCATAATAACACCGCATCTTAGGGAGTTGGAGTGTGGGTCCATGCTGCTGCTAATGTGCAACAGATTCACAAAACAGCTTTATTCGTGAACGAAATCAGCAGATAAAAGCACAAATAAAATATGCAGGCATAAATAAAATAAATACGGACGAACTTATACATTGGAGCAAAAAGTTTGTATGAATCGACTGTACTACGGTAGAATGAATCAAGTAGTTGCAGCACAATAAATACAAGACTGAGGAAGAAGCTCTCAAAGACCCGCGAGAGCTCAAATTTGAGGTTTGTTCTCCAGAGCAGAGCATCAATTACTGCAATTTCATGGGAATTTCCTAGGAAAAGCTCCATAATAACCATCTGCGGCAACGCTGTTCGAACCGGGATCAAAGTTTTGCAACACCCGTTCCATAGTACAAGTTCAGTATCATTCGGCCATAGCCATTTGCACAGTGGTTGCGAGGTCTACTTAATTGACGTTCAGTAATTTTGCCGCAATTTCTTCGATTTTGGAGGTATAGTGCTCTGACCAACTCGGTATCTTGAGTGGCTCTCCATATGTAGCAAAAGTAAAGGCCCGGATAGCCTCAAAAATAGGTTCACCATTTTGAAAGTTGTATATATCCTCTGATTTCCTTTGCTTAACTATGCGCACAGTATTTCAATTTTCACTGGGTCTCAAGAGACTTCTTCCTCAACCTAATGGTAATGTTATGTTTGTCAAATACAGCAAATACACTATCAAGGAAGTCAAACCTGTTCAGGTTTTATGATGTGAGTTTCGAAATTGGAAGGACTGGAAAATTTCAAACCCTTTCATGTGGCAGTTCCTTTGTTGGCATTTTTCATTTTTTACATACATTCCTTCAACATCTCTGGCGACTCGCTGGATATTGACGGTTTTGAGTTGATAGTTGCTAGACTAGCTCGAGGGTGTCGTATAGGGACTCCGGTAGTACCAATTTGGTCTCTGTCTTCAAAGAATCAGTCTTAAAAATATAAAAAAAATGAAATAAATTCGAAGATAATCCTGATTCCGATATAGTAGCTAAGATATAATAGTGTGTTGATAAAGGGCAGTCATTTGTACGGTTTGCTGGCTAGTTCTGAAATCCTTGACGCTTGAAAGGAGTTGGAAACGAACGCTGTCACCGTACGATTTGGTCATCCACATTCAACTTCAGCTCTACAGTCCGATCAATGTATAGACGACCGTTCCGGGCTAGGCCAGCATGACCAGCGACCTGAAATTCAAATCCAAGTCGAGGCATTCAATTCCAAATTTTGAAAATTCATGTCCAAAAAATCAACGTTTGAATTCAAATTTTTCGGAAAGCCTGATAACACTGTGTAGTTTTTGCAGACAACAGTTCGAGAGTGGGCCATGCATTCAATTGCTACACAAATTCGAGTGGCTCACTGAAATGGCGTCTGAGCTGGCAGCGAGAATGTATAGGTTGAATCCTTACCTTCTGGACACCTGCTAGTCAGGATGGTAAT